TCAAAAACAACGTATTTCAAGACATTATGGAACCCACTAAACGGGATTAAAATGCTTTAAAATCTAGCGTGAATAAAAGTATCGTTATTCGGGAGTATATTCTGATGTTCGCATGGTTGAAAAGTCTTGCAAGTATGGCCATAATTTCAGCTCCAGAATACAAAATATGGTCAATTAGTATACTTTATACAGTGAATAACAGGTATGTTGACGAGGAGCTCGGGAACCCATTCAGCCTGATCGTATTGTTCAGAAAATTTAACAAATAATATATTGTGTAATTTGGTAATGTTTCAGATGTTCGCATGTTGGAATTTGCAATCGTAAATTACTAAAATACTTAATTTTGTGTATTTTCCGCTTAAATCTTATACTAAAGACGCCATTTTGGATTAATTTCTAAGTACCCAATGCGCATGCTTTAACTCCACAGTGTATGAAATTTCTAGCCATGGATATCAGCATGTTGTTGGTCAGTGTCAGCTCTAGTACGTAGACGATTACGCAATTTTTTAGCAACAAATTTGATTCCCATTAGATTGCCATTGTCAGACTTTCATTTCTTTAAGACGTTTTTTAGATCTTTAGCTGAAGCTGATTTATATTTCGACTCAAATACTTTATTATTGTTGATATCAACAAACCCATAATTTTCACTGAAGTAATTGTATATTACTGTTGTCATGGTATTGATGCATTTTCTGATTTCTTGCGTTGTAATTGGCGGGTTGAAAGAGTGAATTGAAAAAAGTCGTTAGCATTTGACCACTTTATAGGAGATTTAGGCAGTTTTATTCCTTTCTTCAAATCAGGGTAGCTTTCTTGAGAATTTAAACTCGAAATTACGTCCTCTACTGATTGAACGCTGTCCTCGCATACTTGGTCATTTAAAGCGTCTGTCATTTGTTGTTGTAATTTCTCCTCCATGCCATCAATTCCTCTGCAACTACGCTGATGCATTTTTAAACTCCGAGCGCCTTTACACACTCTACCACAACAGCATTTAAGGGCTTTATACGAACTTGGTGGCAAACATTCTTGAGAGCGAATTTCAACAGCAGGGACTACATTTTCTTTGGACTGTTGGTTGAAATCGATTCTATCTTTACAACGCCACGTATGACGACCCAATGAAACAAATTCCTTTTCACAAAATCCACATAACATTAGGGTTGAAAATAGTGCAATCAAGCTTGCGCGAATCATATTTGATTAAATAAATGAACAAAAGTCAAATTGTATAAAAATGTTTTAAATTCAAGCAGAAATTTTTCACTAAAACAGATGACATGTACAGACAACGTCTTGACGCATCTGCTCGATGTCGATAACATCAATAACATAATAATAATAATAATAATAATGGAAACTTTATTTATTGATTATTAAGATATATACAACTACAATGATAAACCTCGCATTACAGGTAGTTTATCAATGTTTACTTGAATTGATACTACATATTTATTGTACAATAATTATTTTAAGAAGGATTATATTAACATTAATTTTGGGTTATCCCACACCTTGTTTCGTTTACAAAATATATAATATGATGTTCGTATGCATATGGTCACGATTTGCTTTTTTATGTATTTACTATACTTGGCATCACATTTAAGGCTACTTAGCATGCCATCGAAATTTTCAGAAGATCGGCCAAAAACTCCGAGGGTACTCAAGGATAAATTGACGAACTTGACTTTATCATAATCT